CGGCCGCTGTGTAGACTCGGCGCAGTGGCGTAAACACCAAACAAAGCAAACAATGAGACACAGAAGTGTCCCACAGACCTCGATCGCTTAATGAGAACTTTAAAGCGCCTCCGCAAACTACCAGTCTGCCTGTTTTAGACAGGATCAAAGGCAGCCGTATGTCTGAGTACACGATGTATTCGGAAATGTCTACCGACGCGATAGGGTTACGTTCTATTTATCGCGATAACGAGAACAGAAGCTTTTTCAAGATCGAATGCGAAACGTCTTTTCTAACGGAGTCTCGCTATAATTAAAACGCTAGTAGCCGATCAGATGTTCCTAACACGCGTATACCCGATGCAAATATTTCCAGATTGAAAATATCGTTCGATCGAACGAAATTCCACATCGCCGTTTAAACAGAACAATTAAACGTTCCCCAACGAACGTACCTCTTCATTAAATAATGGTCACACGTTTCCAGAATTGACCCAGGTATTTCTAAAACAGCCAGTGTGTACAAACACGGAGCCCGCAAATACACGCTCGCAGCGGTTCCCTTACGTGTTCTCTCTCGTATCGTTCTCTCGTTTGCCGTGTGCCCGATAAATCGCACGTCCGGGACTCGTTCGAACGCGAAATTCCTGCTCTATTTCTCCCTGTGCCCTGTGTAATTCCCTTTACGCGGGTCGTGAATTAACGCGAGACGAAAACGACGGCAGATTGTTGTCCCGATGGTGGCCGACTGTCGGTGTTTGTACCGGTTCGAAGAACTCGACGAGAAAGGGTGAAAGAAGGAGGCGAGCGTCTTCAAAGAAATTTTTCCTGCCGTATGCCACGGCTGTTGGAATGCTCGTAAACCTTACACGGGCCGTTAAGCAAACCTATACACCAAGGGGTATTTGCGACGGTACACCACCAGTCGTTCCAGCGAGAGTTGCGTAAAGCAACGTGAAAAAGAACGTACGAGTACGAGTTCGACCACGGTTCCACCAGCCGCTTGTAATTTGTATCGCGAGATAGCTGTTGCCAGCGACCGTGTTGCGGTCAAAGGGAATTCCTCTGGTCTGGAATTTTAAATCGAAAAAAAAAGAAAGAAAAAAGGGAATGGAAAGGAAACAACATGAAAATAGGGAAAAAAGAGAGAACGGATCGGAACGAATCAAACGTGACCGATTGTTTTGCCTGTGGCTTCCGGTGTTTTATGATACGACTGCGAAGAGGGATCGTTTTTTCCCGAGCTCCGGGAATTTACAGTCAACTTTTTAATCAGTGTATAACGTAGAAGCAGCTGTTTTAACTAATTCCGTTTCATCGAAATTTTATTATTCTTTCCGTCGCGATAGTGATTTGCGAGGGAATGGAGAACGATGCAGCGAATATTCAGTTGTCCGATCGATCGGTTACCTATATTTTTTCCGAATAAACGGGAAAAAATGTGGCAGAATTGACAACTTTGCGACCATCGTCACGTAACGATACCGACTTCGCTATTAACGAAACAATAGGCGAGTGCAAATATTTGGCCGTCACACGTCCACCACGGTGAACGCAGAAAGCTCGCATACGCGGATGGAAACTATCGTGAAAACTCGTTTATGCAGGAAAAATCGTGACGCGGCTGTTAAATGATTCTTTGATGATCGAACGCTTTGCTGTATGGTATGCCGAAGTATTGCTGTGCGAATTAAGCATGCAACGTGTTGCCACTGCTATCGAATTTACTCCGTTTTTTAACGACATTGCTCGATAGACGTTCAAAAAGTTGTACTAATCGATAGTTATCGATTTCGATGAAATTTTTAGGAAAAAAAATACCTGCCTTTTGGTAATATATTTGTTTCATACAGAATTGTACAAATACGAGAACGATTTTACGCGCTATAGCGTTGTTGTCGTAGCTGTTGTTGTTTGTTTATTTAGATCCAGGAGGTGTGTCCGATCCAATCAAGTGGACCAAATGAAAACCAATGTTTTCCGCATGGTGGAACTATCGACAAGGAAATCGATCAATCAATCGGAGAGTGAGTCAGTCAGTTAACACCCGGTAATCACCTCGCATCGTCAAATTTGTTTCAAAGAGGTACGCAATGTGGTGTTAACACAGATCGAGCGATTCCTCTGGAAAAATGACATCGCGTCGTTGAAAAATTGCAATACTCGCGAGCAGAGAAATAACAACTAAATTACTCTCTGTTTCTACCGGTCTTCCATACAACTAAATCCGAAACCGTAAATACATGTACACGTTGATGATCAAACTAACGATATTCGACGATAATTGACATCGAAATGAAAGAAAATTTTGCAGATATCCGGACAACCATTTGTAAAATATGTAATGGATCAGAGAAAAATTCACGTTAACTCGATCATTCATTATGTAATTGTTCGCCATTACATTCGTCTCTTATATATATCGGTGTATATTTCAATGGAACTTATTCCAGCGGAAAACAATTCTATTATACAGAATATTTCGTGACATACAGGACGATTTAATCAAAAAATGACGCAGTCTGCAGTAAGCTATATTCCCAACTTCATAAATGAAATACCAATTCCGTCACACGTTTTGAAAAATAACCTGTGAAATGTCGCAGATCTCTATCGACGAAGACTCGCAAGAATATTTTCCATACCGATGAATTCGAAGAACGCTATCAATTGCGTTCTAATTTTACGAAGATACGAATATTTCTTCAGCTCGTTCTATCTTAGGACGGAGCAAAAACGAAAATAGAACCAAGAATACGCTTTTACACTTTAAATTCATCGCCTTAGGTCGTTCAATTTTCATTTCGAGAGCATCTCGAACAAGAAGCGAGTAATTACGCGTTGTCGGGTGATTCTGTGAAAGGAATGCATTTTCGTCGCTTTCTGTGAAACAAGGAACGCGATGACGGCTCCCAGTATTCGTCTCGTAAACAAGTTTAAGTTCCGCTATATTGGATCACCGGTCATCGTGCCGGAGATGTAAGCGACTGAAACGCGTGCTTGGCTGGAAACGTTGGCCGATTGTTACGGATGCGTCCAGTGTCCCGAGCGTTGCCACTTTGTCCAGTGTGCATGGAACTTCATTTCGAACTACTCGTTTCGCGAGGAAACGCGAGGGTCCGGCGCGAATTAATAGAACATGCGAGCGGACTGGAATGTTTCGCAGGGTACTTCATGGTTAAAACGTTGCCACGGTTCCGCCTGTTTTAAGGGTCGGAATGTGGCACGGATGAAAATGACGTCCGACAGTTTACGGCTGGTTAGTCACGTTACGGTTTAATTAGGTAAAAGGTTATGATAGTGCTAAAGGGGAAAAGGAGAGGCTTGCTAGTGGCTTCATCGGAGAGACTTCGCGATGTTCGAGGACCACGGTAAAAACGACGATAAGAAATTTTATCAGAACGATGTTTTGGACGAGGTTTGCCAAAGCTGAAACTTTATGGCGGAATAAATAGCGGATTAAGCTTCGTTCCCAAGAAGCGAGAAAGATTTAATTATATGGCGACGTAACAATTTTGCAAAACAACAATTTTATGAAGGATAATTCACGAAAAAATCACGTTTCTTCGTCCTCGAGCTTGCGAAGCTTTAGTTCTTTAAGTAGTTCGCAAATTAGCTATTTCTCGTACGTGTCTGCAAATCTCTCCGAGCCTTTATTTTCCTCTCAAAGTAAAAGGCACACGTACGACGCACACGATGCGATGCGATGTTCTTCCGCGCGCTGAAAAAACAAACACGACGTTCCTGGTACGTATAAGACGCGGGAAATATGAAATGGCGAGGTGACGAGGGATCGACGGAAACGCGATAAAGCGGCGAGTACTTGGTTGGGTTAAGGATGAGAGGATTCGAATCACCGATCCTGCAAACGTAAGTGACTTGGACGGAGTAGTAAATTGTAATCGTGAGTTCGTGCAGTTTCTCGATCTCGAAGTTTGTAGTTACTCTCCGAAGTATTACCCAGGGAACCGTGGTAGCCTCGCTACCTGGCTAAGCATTCTCCTGTTTCTACCTAATTACCAAGTATCAAGTAAGCTTCATAAAGCTGCTATTAATCTTGCTCAAGCGCGCGGCAACGCCGAAATCCATAGGGTATCGCGGCAACGTCCTGCACGTTCGCACGATCTGCTGCATGATAACGTCGCGTTTGACGTGCGAGCAATTTACAACTAAATTTCCAAATCTTTGAATTTAAACGAGCAACAAGATCTCGCGATATCCGCGAGACAATTAAGAGAATACTTTGATGGGCCAATTTGTCAACTAACATCGCAAACTTCGCTTCTCAAGCAGTTGCTCGAAAGATTCGAAAATAGGATTTAAGTTGAGGATTTGCTTCGCACGTAAAGCGTAAATGAAACTTAAATCCTAGTTCGTTGATTATATTTCCTAAAGCTATTATCGAAAAATGTGGATAATTGGAGAAGATGCCTGTTACTAACGAACGATGCGTCAACCACGGTAGAACGAACCAGCTGCTGATCGGACACGGCCATTAAAAGTCTAAAGCAATCGGCGAATTTCAACTCTCACTTCTATCTACATTTTCCTTACATTGTAAAACCCGCTGACTTTTACAACCTCGTGTTAAACATTTCTTTCACTCGCGATCAACCGCGCTGATTTTGCCCTGCAAACGAGCGACGCGAAAGGAAAAGGGAGACAAGATTTCCCGGACGGTTTCTCCATTGCTGTCAACGGTACTGGCAGACACCCGATAACAAACCCACATTCCCGCGACCAAGCGTAGGGCGCATCTGCATTCATCGCGTAGATTCGGCGGCCCCGTAACAATTTTCATTAAACGACCTCAATAGGCAAGTTATACAGATGAATATAGCGTTCATCAGGGCTGGTGGAACGTCGCTATCGAGGCGGGGCG